TGAAACTTGAGGACCACAGAATTTGTGATGCTTATCAGTATCCTTAGAAATAGATTCTAGAAAAACATGTATCTTGCCAAAAAACTGTTCAAGTGTCTGGTATGTTTCACGCTGATTTCCCATTGTTCATTGCGAAATCTGATTAATTACGAATTGACTAGCAATATCTCATTTCAAAACTTGTTCATTGAATCATTTCTCAATTAAACCAAAGGGTGCACGGCCAATTCTCGGCCACTCCACTTGTTGGGCCGCTTGGGCGGCACTAATCAGCTTCTGTATCGAACCCTTGGCGGCTGATGAGTGTTGGCTATAGTTATAAAAAGAGTTCACTGAATTTTTCAAGAAATGGGTCGAACAAATTTTACTCATGGAGAACAAAAATTAATGAAGTATGATTGAAAATCAAGAATTTTGAATTAAAAAAATGAAAATTCAATATATGATACCGTTGCTCGAACGACAGAGTCACTGCTCTGAGTGCTCAGGCAGCACGCACGACGGCCAGCGAACCTATGCAACTTTTCGAGAGTAGGTTTAAAATTGGATTGTGTCACTTTGTGTGCAACTTTTTAACTTCTATAAATTGGACCCCTATGTGATGTTTTCATTCATTTCCATCTTCTACATGCAAAGCATATCAAATATCATGATTATCTTGCCAAAATTTTGCATCAAAATCTTGTTCTTTTTCATATCAAAAGGAGCACAAAACTTCATTTAGTTCGCCGTTTCTCGTAACTTGTAGTGCTACTATTACAAAAAGTTGATCGTTATTTCTTGGGAGACAATTGTCAAACTACCGTCGACACTTGTGTGAGGCAAATATGTCTCAAGGACAAAGAGTTCAATTCTTGCCTCAAGGACAAGGAGCTATTCAAATTACAGAAACAGACTAGTTCTTTTCCCACTACACCAAAAATTATCATTTGCAACATATAAAAGACAACATTCGATAGTTAAGTGTTGCTAAAGGGGTCTACCGCATCATTTTAATAAACAAATGTTGCCATTAATTAACATAATTGAGATTTGACAACATTTTGTAATTAGATGTTGCTAATATCATCTTTTGCAACGTTTATTAAATGTTGCGAAAAGTGTTAGTTTTTGCAACGTTTATTAAACGTTGCGAAAAGTTTTAGTTTTTGTAACGTTTTAATAAACGTGCTGAAACTCGCATTTTGCAACGTTCGTTGGCCGTTACAAAAAGTTCACCTTTTGCAACGTTTATTGAACATTGCAGAAAATGAAACTTTTTGCAACGTTCAATAAACGTTGCGAAAACATTACTTTTTGCAACAGCCATTGAACGTTGTA